TTTTTTTTTTTTTTTTTTTTGGTAATAGACTGCATTCAACTTTTTCTTAATCTTCTGACTGTGTGGTAGAATTTATTGTGGGCTTTGTGCTGCTTGAATCACATTTCTTGCTTGTTACGAGGCCTGGCCATTGCTAAAGTTAAGAGACAAACAATTAGGACAATAACCATTTTCAATTAATCTATGACGATGACATGAAAATTTAGTTCTTGATTCCTGTTGAAGTCCTCAAGTGAGTGTTACTGAGGGTCAATGTATCTGCAAATGTTCGAAGACAACTCGTGAAAAACTATGTGTAGTATGTCTTAATGGGGTTATTGTGATTTATAAAGTCGTTTGAAAGTTGTGTGCCGTTTGTCACACTCTGGCAGTCGTAACTACCACTTAATGTAATTTTACATTTTACTCAAGCCCATTCTGGGTGTTGAATATTCATTCTGCTGTGTATTTGTCGAGTTGGTAGAATCTGATAGTTCAATTTTTCTATCAGATAGTTCAACTTTTCCAAATCTTTCTATCTGTGGAGAGTTCTTTCTATCTACGAGTTCTTTCTCGAGTTGCAATACCAAAGCTTCTGGCCAATTGCAATTCAGTAGTTAACTCTACATTAATCTAAGTTTTTTAAATTAGTTTTGGAAAACAGCTTACCGCTTTTTTAGCCCCGGAAAATTGCAGTTTGCCCCGGTAATAACATACGGTTTTGTGTTGGTTTTGACGAACACAATTCTATTTATAATATTGTATTCTTCCTACTAAATGATTTTCAGGTGACAGTGGAAAGCCAAAGCTACCACAAGTCTTGTTTCAAGTGTTCTCATGGTGGATGCTCGCTGACCCCATCAAACTATGCGGCCTTAGACGGCATCTTATACTGCAAACCTCATTTTTCGCAGTTGTTCAAGGAAAAAGGGAGCTACAACCATTTGATCAAATCTGCATCCATGAAACGCCCAACGGCAACAGTTCCCGATTCTTAAATGCAGCTAAAATTTAATCAACCGACTGCATTACGATTTGCATGTGATCGCATTATGTGGGGTTTTTTTTTTTTTTTTTCACCTTGTTCGGTTTGATATTGGTGCAAACTTGAAGTGATTGTCCTTTTACTGTCTTCTTTCTTTCCCGGCTGAGTGTAACTGGTGTTTTAGTGAAGCAATGCCCCTAAAGAAACTATGATTTTCTTATCTTTTTTTAATCATTGATGAAAGTGACATGTCTGAACACTTGGTAGGTTGAACACTTCATGTATGCAAATAGTGTTGGTTTGGTATTATGACTTTTTTTAAAAAAAAAGTTCGATTTTATTTCATAAGCTTTCTTGGGTAGTTTTTTAAAAATGAACTTATTGAAATTTTTGTTTCAGCTGACATATCAGCTAATTTTACCCAATATTTTTATATATCAGATAGATTTTTAACCATCAGTCATAAATTATCAGCTATAAATAGAAAATTCACTTGTAAGTTATCAGCTCACTTATCATCTAGGTTTATCAAATATATCTTTATCCTAATAATTGTAAGCATTATATGAGTATCGTATAAAAATCTGAGTTTATGTAACGTGACCAAAATCTTAGCATGAGTATCATCGACGTCAGTTTTGTTTTACTCACTTTACCTCCAAATCTAACTCAACACATTATTCTCAATATTATCGATATAGTTAAATAATATTCAGTAACTAACTTTTAAGTCATAATTCAATGAAAATCGATTTTAACTGGTTACGACTTTACAAGTTCGTTTACTAATCTAACTCTACGAAAAACATAATAAGACTAAGTATACAACAAATCTTATATTATTTTCACTCAACAAACAAAACAAAAATTAATTTTACTTAAAAATCAGTAAATAAAAATGATCACTTTTGAGTTTAAGTTTTTTTTTGTTTAGTTTTACGTGGGTACATCACCCGAGTATGAGAGGGTTTAGGCGGGAGCCAGTGCTGTTCCCGCCAAAATTCACCCTAGCTATCCCACTCATCATCGCCTTCATTTATTTTTACTGTTTTAAATCCAACCCAAAAATCACTCGCTCAACTCAGAATCACCACAGTTAAAAAAAAAAA